CAATATAACCAATAAATGCTAATGCAAAATTTCTAAAAGAAAGTTAATTGTAGTTTGTTTTCTTCAATTATGATTTTGTCCATTCAATCATTTTTCATCGTTCAATCACTGTATTAGTCTTTTTAATTAAATTATTAATTTTAATATATTATATCTTGTACTATTTCAATCGTCACATTTTACATATCATTAAAACTTGGACATGAAATATTAAAATTTTCAATTTAAGAAATAATCATGGAAGATTATTTTTGTTCAAATTTAACTATTTATTCACAGTGCCACAAAATTTGCACAATTGGAAATATGCTAAAACAAAATTAGAATGATAATTTAGAGGAATAAAGTGTATTTATTCCTTCACAAGTATACTTAGGTTCCTTCTATGTGGGCCCCCACATAAATTTAACAAAGCCCATTAAAATAAACTAACAGTAGGATCTTAGTAGCTTGCCTCACGTAGACTTTTCACTGTACTCAACGACGTACGAGAATCGAAAAGTCTCTCCCTCTCGCTTATAGTCCTTGGAGTCCCCAAACTCTGTCCGTCCTCCCAATCCAAATACTACGGCACCCCTCCTCACTCTCCTTCATCCCCCCTCTCAGGCGTTCGCCATTCTCTCTCCTCACCATCTTCAGACCCACCACCACAATGAGCAAAGGCTCCTTCCTGTCCGGCGGAGTGGTGAAGAAGATCCTTCTCAATTACACCTACGTAGCCATCTGGATCTCCTTATCTTTCAGCGTCATCGTTTACAACAAGTACATCCTCGACAAGAAGCTCTACAACTGGCCATACCCAATATCTCTCACTATGATCCACATGGCCTTCTGTTCCACCCTCGCTTTTTTCGCCGTCCGTGTCTTCTCTCTCGTCGAACCAGTCTCCATGTCGCGTGACGTCTATCTCTCCTCCGTCGTCCCCATCGGCGTTCTCTACGCCATCAGCCTCTGGCTCAGCAACTCCGCTTATATATACTTATCAGTCTCTTTCATCCAAATGCTAAAGGCCCTCATGCCAGTGGCTGTATACACCATTGGAATTTCTTTCAAGAAAGATCAGTATAAGAACGATACAATGGCTAATATGTTGGCGATTTCACTGGGGGTTGGGGTTGCTGCTTATGGGGAGGCCAAATTCGATACATGGGGGGTGTTCCTCCAACTGGGTGCTGTGGCTGTTGAGGCCACAAGGCTTGTGATGATCCAGATCTTGTTAACTTCAAAGGGTATTAAACTAAACCCTATTACAACTCTGTATTATGTGGCTCCGTGTTGCTTGGTTTCCCTTTGTGTTCCGTGGGTTTTCGTGGAATACCCTGTTTTGAGGGACAATTCGAGTTTTCAACCCGATTTCTTCATTTTCGGGACCAATTCTTTGTGTGCTTTTGCTTTGAATTTGGCTGTGTTCTTGATTGTTGGGAAGACATCGGCTTTGACGATGAATGTGGCTGGGGTTGTGAAGGATTGGCTTTTGATTGCGTTTTCTTGGTCGGTGATTAAGGACACTGTAACTCCGGTCAATCTTTTTGGGTATGGTTTGGCGTTTTTGGGTGTTGGGTATTATAATTATTGTAAGTTGCAGGCTTTGAAAGCGACTGAGGGGCAGAAGAAGGTTCAAGAGGCTGATGAAGAGGCCGGAAAGTTGTTGGAGGAGAGAGAAGGTGGTGGAGATGGATTGGGGAAGAAGATTGATTCCCAGGAATAACTCAATAGCTAAGTTAAACATAACAAAAAAGTGGTGTGGAAATGAAAAAGGCTGATAGAAGAGGATAGAGTGATGAAAGGGTTTGGAATTTGGGGGCAAAAGAAATTGAGTGTCTGAGTTATCTTATGCTCTTTGGATGGATTAAGATTATTGGTATGTTGGTTGGTCATCTTTATTTATGCTCTAGTTATGGTTATTACTGATATTAAAAGGTATTCGGGACTCACATTTCTTGCTTATATTGCCAGTTTATGTACGTTAGTAGAGTAAGAATCTCGAATTCCCGATATCTATTTACACTTATCCTTATATTTTTATTTTTGAATTCAGGTACTTATGAATGTGTAAGAACTCTTAGGTTTTATATATTAATGTAAATCCATTTTGCACACATGATCTTTTTTATGTATTGATTGATTGCTTAATGCTTTAGTTCTTGCGGTGAACTTTGTCTGTAATACAATGGTTAGACCTTATGGTGATTTGTTTCTAGGATTTGTTGTTTGAAGCAGTTTCTTTGCTTGAAATTTATGCTGGAGGTATTAGACTTGAGAGTGGAATAAGAGAGACGGATATACAATTTGTATGATGCTGAGTGTTGCTTGATGCATCTAGCTCTTATGGGAGAAGAGATTTAAACTTGGAATAAAACAAATTGTGGAACAGAAGAGTTTGACATGAAAAACGAAGTTGCTATGGACATCAGGTAGTTTGCCAAAAGTGCATGATAATTAATAATCATTTGAAAAAGCTTTTCTATTTTTATCTTACTTGATATGACCTGCCAAAATGTTAGGCTGTTGGATGGATGGTTAGCATCTTGCATTGGTTATTTTGTCTAGGTTGTTCAGGTCTCTAGGACTTCACTTGGCTCCTCAGTTAGTTGTCATCCTCCATCAAGGTACTTTGTTTCAGTAATGCCATACATTAGAGGTCATGCTACTGTTGCATAGGGTGGAAAGATATCACTGTTGAATGTGTTGATAGAATGGTGGGTGACTGAATTAAGGGAAACTTCAAAGGGTGGTAGATTACAGTGCTAAAGACTTAGATAATAGAGATTTGTTGAAAAATGAATAGGAAATCAGGAAATCTAAACTTCTTGGGTGCAAAATGGCCGTTTTTGGGCTCATGTCCGGACACATTGACATGACAAATCCTCATATATTAGGATACGAACATCACTAGGAATGCACTAGAACCAGTTGGATGTTGATGGACCACAATAGTCAATTGTCACCCCTTTCTTATGGGCAAAATATGGTAGGCTAAAATAATTACGATAATTTCTCTCAATAATACTTTTGCTCTGTTACAACTAGTTATATGCCGTATTTCAAGGTTTGTTAATCACATGGTAGTTTGTTTTGGGTCTAATTTTTAAGTCATAAGCACAGCGTAGACATGCCCGGAGGATATGTCAGAAAGTGGTCTTTCAAAAAGTTTTTGGTCAAACTTGTTCCGACACAGACATTACAAATTCTTAAATATGTGCTCTGAAGGCCAAGGTTGATCAGCGATTTGTTAGTAAGTTGGGAATGAATATCAGGAAGATTTAGAGTTCCTAATTTGAAATTGTGTTTAGTAGGCTGTCTACTGTTTGCAAGAATACCCTATGTTGGATGAATTACTCTGGAGAATTAAGACAGGGCCCTCCTCATCAGGGTTCGTTCTACAGTCTGAATCCCCCTTAACCGGGCAAAAAATCAAGTGGCTGGAACTTGCAATGCTCGTTCTGGTTTAAAATTCAGTAGATGAACAATGACTGGAAGCTGTACCTATGCCTGGGGACTCGGGTGCATGCTTCGAAGAGATCTTTCAAGGCTGCCTAGAAGAGATTTCATCATCTCTAACTCAGTGCATGCTTTTGTTTAGTCGAATAACTTTAGTCTTGTCTATTATTTCTTCCAAGAATTACTGTCTTCTATGGGCATGTAGGTAGTGCTGGTTAAACCCTTGCATGGTTGGACTTGATTTTCCAGATTTCTTGGGCATCATATAGGACCAGGTTGGCTTGATTACAATGCTGTTATTAGTCTAAGACTTCCAATTTAAAAAGCTTATGTCTGAAGATTTAGTTGAACATTATACTGCGTGGCAACCTTTGCCTGGGCAATATTGAAGTGTCTCAGTGATTGATTCTATTGGCATACAATTGAATTTAAACACTTCTTTGAGCCTCAGAACTGAACGCTACAGATTGGATATCTGAAGCATGAATGTCACTAAAACTTCATGTATATAATGGATAATGGCATGCAACCCGTGGATAATGGCATGCAACCTGTGCGATGTATAAAATTTATAATCTTTCTCTACCATAACCTTACCACCAAATCCTCTCTAACCGTAATATTATTTTGATAATTACGGATAGACAAAGTGTCATTGTCTGGGAAACTACGAAATGAGCTTATCACCGGGCAGGACAAGGTACCATATGTAGGTTTCATGTTCAGTTTCCATCATTTTGAGGATTGATGAATTAGATGTGATGTAGTACAGAATGTCAATATGTAATGGTACAGTGACAGCTAGCCTACCCAGTCCTATGAATGCTGCCATAACAATTTCTGCAGACCACAAGGATATCCAGGATAAATATCTGTAATACTTGAAGTACATGGCCTAAGTTCTCTCCAAACTTGCACACATTTTTCCCTTTTGGTGTAGAATAATGTTGTCTCCTCATTTTAATGCCATAACACAGAAAATAGAGAACCAAAATTAGTTGGCATCTAGATTTGATTAAAAAATTCCACTGGTCAAAACTTCAAGTTGTACTTTTGAAAACCCACCAAGCAGGTTCGCCTTTCTAATTGAAAGAAATATAATCAGATACAAGTATATGCATTTAGCTAAATAGTCAGAAACATGAATAAAATTGCCTTTTTTTTTATGGGTACTGCCTTCTTTCCTTTGGATATTTTTCCAAAAATCTCCCCATTTACAATATAGCCAACTCCCCCCCCCCCCCCCCACAAAAAAAAAAAAAAAAAAGAAAAAAGGGAAAAAACACCAACGAAAATGAACTCATTACACCAAATATATGGTTTGCAAATTTACATAGATTCCATAGCAGTTGGTGTTTATCATGTTAGGAAATTCATACGAAATTCTCAAATTTGTGAGAAACAAAAATAGAAAAAACACATGCAAAAAAAAAACAATCACACACACAAGACAGTATTTATGTGGTTCGGCAATTTGCCTACATCCACGAAGCTGCAGGAATTTCGCTGATTTCACTATTATTAAGAAGAAATACAAAGTAGCCGTACAGAATCAATCAAATTCTAATCACCCAAAACAACAGGTTTTATATGTCCAACATCGGGCTACAAAGCGGGCCAAAAAAAAAAACACGTAAAATTAATTCGAATCGGATCATCATCCGGATCAATACAAAAACCTAGACTCCACAAAAGCCCAACATATCACGTGTCACTACAAGCCAACACTCGCTGTAAGAAACACCTCGCGTTTGTAAGCATTACCTGACCAACATTATACGCTATTTTCCTGCCTAGACCATGTCTGTTGAGAGAGAGAATTATATCAAGATAGATTCAGATCAACAATATCCAACTTGAGATGTACATTCTATTTGTTTCTTGGTTTTAATATTTCTCCTGAAAGATGATATCTCAGCTGCTGAACTTTAGAAAGTCAGGCTGGATTTCGATTAAAATCATCTACTTATTGGAGGGAAGATCAAAATACCTTGCTGAACTTCAGGACAGCGACATTTACTGTTCCCTCAGAATGATCACAATCCGGGACTGTACTCCACCTATAACTCGCTCTTCATGGCTTGTAAATACCACTGGTTAATAAGAAAAATGGTTTCCCATTAATGATGATTTATCATAAATCATGGGTTTTCTGTTACCAGAAGTCTTTACATGAGCAGAGCCCATCTCTGAAGTGGTGAAAACGGTTTCTGTCCCTCACCACAATTTCTCGATTATAAATCTTAGAGATGAACTTGGTAGCAGAATGACAATCGCCACACACCCTCAAATTCTTCACAATCCTTATAGGAGTTCCCGGTGGTGTCTTCAAAAGGGCAAACGCAATAGCTAGCTTTTCACTATGCCTGTTCAAAGCATCCTCCTTATCTTGTTCATCAATATCAAGTAACACCTCTGAGGTAGTAGGAACATATCCAGCCCTTTTCAATTTCCTTCCCATCTCATCCAACATCTCGTAAATATCTTTGTACTGACTATGACTTTTATCTCCGGCCACAAATTCATATATTTCATTATCAAGCTCAATCATAGTGCTCCCCGGGATCTTTCTCATTCCCTTCTTCTCCATCACCTCTCTAATCTTGGTTTTCCTTTCCCAGCGGAACTGTTTTGCATAGATATTGGAAAGTAACACATAATTAGACTCATGCATGGGTTCATTTCTGATCAGTTCTTTTGTGATGCTTTCACCAAGATTGAGCTCACCATGGGCACGGCAAGCAGTTATCAGGGTTCTCCAAATTATGGGGTTTGGTTGAATGGGCATTTTCTGAACAAACTCTAGTGCCTCTTTGACAAGTCCAGCCCTGCTTAACAGATCCACCATGCATCCATAATGCTCTATCTTAGGTACAATCCCAAAATCCTTTGTCATTGAATAAAAATGTTGCTGGCCTTCCTCAACTAGCCCAGAATGACTACAAGCGTTGAGCAACCCGATAAAGGCAACATCATCAGGCACCACTCCAGCTCCTTTCATCTCCTCAAACAATGAAAAAGCCTCTGGCCCACGACCATGCATTGCCATACCAACAATCACAGAAGTCCAAGAGACAATTGACCTCTCAGTCATGTTCCTAAACAGCCTCAGAGCTTTGTCAACATCACCACACTTTGCAAACATGTCAATTAGTGCGTTACAAAGCTCCACACTATTTACAACATTTTCCCTCTCAACATAAGACTCCACCCATTTCCCAAGCTCAAGTGCACCCAAATCAGTACACGCAGACAAAACCGAAACCATAGTAATCTCATCCGGCCTAACACCAGAAATTTGCATTTTCCTAAACAATCCAACAGCCTCAATCGACATACCCAGCCGGGCATACCCACCTATTATCGCACTCCATGACACAGGGTCTGACTTAGGCATTTCATCAAACACTTTCCTACCAAACTCAATCCCCCCACAGCAACAACCATACATATGAACCATGGTATTCAAAACATGAACATCATCATCAAACCCAACTTTCAACACACAACCATGTACTGTTTTACCCAAACTCAAGTCCCCAAGACCAGCACAGGCTTTAAGAACAAATGGGTACGTAAATTTATTAGCCAAAACACCATATTCAAGCATAAGTTTATAATAATATATACCATTGTGCTTGGAATCACGGGGTTGAGTATAAGCTCTAATGACAGTGTTGAAAAGGAAGGAGTCATAAAGATGAGTTTTTGCGTCTGCCGCGAATAGGAAAGTTGAAGCGTAGTCAATAGCGTTGAGGTCTGAAGATGTGGAGGCGAACTTGGTGAGAACTAGTGGGTTGTTTCGGAGACCCAGCTTGAAAATGTGAGCATGGAGTTGGGTCAGTTTGGGGAGAGAGTCACAGAGTTGGAGGAGAGTTAAGCAGTTCTGTTCTGCTGCTCTTTTGTTGGTTATGGTTAATTGATTGTGAAATGAGGTTTGGAGAGGTAAAGAGTGTATAGATCGGAACAGCTTGGCTTTGGTGTATGAAAACTGCATTTAGTCCACCCGATGTACCCTCCATTCCTTGTCTATGCCAATACATACTTGAAAATTCCTCACATTTATCCAAAAAAAATTATTAAATTTATTTACCAAATAACTTATGGTGTAATTAGGCAGATGAATAGAAAATACGAATCACATAAGCGAGTTTGAATTTGAGTTACAAGGCTCGTGAGGATTATGGTAAGATCCTTGAGAAATTGGGATGGTTTCAGCGCAAGTATAGTGGGTCACTGAACTCAAAATTTCGGCTAATCCACTCTCAAAGGGAATTCCTTACTCCTTAGATCTATATTAATGGCTGGTATAAGTTACAAAGTGTTTTTCATATATTTGAGGATCTCTCTCAAGATGGAGGCACTGCCCAACATTTATTGTTTAATTCCCATTTGTAAGGGATCTGCAGCAGATCCCTACCATTCACGTGTTGGATTTTTCCTTAATTTCGAGGAGAGGATCTTGGGTGGTTGAGAGTCTCGCGCCTTAATCACTATCTTCCATTATGTTAGAGATGCCTTCTGCTAGTTAGCTGTTCCTCTCATCTCTTTTAGTCTTTCATCCGAAGGGGGGCTCGAGGTCTGGGCCTCTGATCTCAGGGTTCCTTAACTGACCTCCTTGTCTAACCTCCATTCCCGAGTTCATACTTAGTCAAAAACCTTCCCATGTATCATCAACCTTAACCCGCTAATTTCATATTAATTTAGAATCGTATTTTTCATATCGTGTCAAAAATTGTCACACCTACCAGTGATATTTGTGAAAACATTACCACCATGTGATGTTGATCAAAAGATCAGACTGAGTCATTAGCATATAGGAGCTTCAAGTTGCCACAACTTTGAGACAGAGAAGCCTTTGAACCTCAACAGGCATGAACTTGGTGTTGTAGAGCGCCTGCTGCTGCACCCCTATGCCTTGGTATTTGTCCTATCATGATGTCAAATGTAGTTAGGACTTCTCTGATCTCGTATTGTTAAAAAAAAAAGAATTATATTAGTTAAAATATATTAATTATGTATAGGTAGATAAAATATATGATTAAATACGAGATAAAAATATTAAGTATTGTAATTCAGTGTTTGGTAAGACATTAGATTAAGAATGAAATAGTAGAGTAACAATTATATATTAGCTAAAAAATTATCAATCTTGTATAGTTATTAATGTTTTTGTTTATGTATTGGATAAAATACTAAATTTACAACTTAATACGCTTTAATTGGACTATGATACCACTCCCCTTAGGTGGTATTATAATGTGCTTAATAGTATGGATACAATGTATTATTTGGATAAGTAGTATATTACTTGGATAATAATTTGAAATAAGACTATATATAATATATAGTATTTTTTACAACCAAATGTTATATAGGATTGGATTAGAGAGTCTTAATCTTTTACGAATTTGTAATTTACCCTTTAAAGTTGTAACCAAACGACCCTGAATTGTTTGAGAAAATATGATTACAGCGTTATATCATAAAAGAAAAAGATGACTCAAAATGCTTAAACTTAATGTCATCTTGATTTAATTAATTCTTGGATAAGACACTATGTTGATATCAAATGCACTTATTTGACTAGAACAAATATTATGTACCATGCCTCTAAATTTAATTGATAGGTTTATTTGTTATTTTGAAAATGATTCAGGATTAGAATTGGAAATTATTTTATTTTTACTATTATTTTGTCTTAATTTTAGGGCTAATTTCCTTCTTGACTAAGTTTCCTTTTTATATTAGTATTGAGAGAGGGTTCTTAACTTTAGCGTGCCAAATTTTATTTATTTATTTTTGTTGAATATTGACGTTGATCATATTTTTATTGTGTTCCGTTGTCTCACTCACCTAGGAGATGATATTTAAATTGGTGGATTTCAATTAAAATTAAACTTATTAATCTGCCCTTCTGTCAAATTGAACACTTCATTGTATGAAAGATAATATTATCAGAAGTGATATATGATTTGAAGGCATATTACCAGACCCATATATTTCTTTTACTCCTATTCAATCATTCTCAAACTATGAGAGAGAATAAAGATAAATCATATTTTTATCGAAACCTATCTCGTAAACCCAATTGTATGAGTGTGGATTGGTCTTACAAAACCAATCCAATCCTAAATAGAAAAAAAAAAATACTAAACGGCCCTGCGCATTGCTGAATGGTTAGTGTTAGTCCTTTGATGTTTTGGGACAACCATAGTAGGTGTGCAAGTTGGGAAGCTAACCTAATCTCAACTCGAACTTTTTAGTATTTGGTTGAAGTTTTTAATATTTGGGTTGGACTTGATTAAAAAAAATTTAACCTGAATTGAATTTGGATAATACTCGGGTTGGGGGTTCAGGTTAACTAGTTCAACCTAGACCCGAACCGAATTTATGAAATTAGATTCAATTCAAAATTTATTTTTAAGAAAGGAAAATTATACACACAAATATGAAAAGGATATTAGTGCATCTGCCTCACATCCTTCTTTTATTGCTAATGATGTTTGAATGAAATTTGTTCTTTCTTTTTTCTACTTTAGGTTTGACTAATGAAAAATTTATAGAATTTAGATTTAATTTTATGGCAGAAGACAAAACTATATCATATTTTTTGTTTTAATTTAATTTTAATTAATAAGAAGTCCGATTCCAACCCCAATTACAACCCAAATTATGCATACTCGAGCTCAGCCTAAGTTTAAAAATTTAATCATGGGTTAGACTTGGGTTGAAGTTGTTCGAGTTGGTTCGAATTGCATTGAGCTCGGATTAAAAGTTTCATATCTTGGGTTGGGCCAAAGTTGAATTCTCAACTTGCTCAACCTGTCCGAGTTGTACCTCTAATTTGTAGTTTACGTGACCTCAACTAAGTGTATCTCAGACAACTTTGACAGTTAGCTCTTTGTTTTTTCTTGAGCATGGTTAGGTTTATGAGTTCTATGATACTAGACATAAATAAATCAGTATTTCTTTATATGTAGGATATTAACACGGGTTTGAATTCAATTTGGTATTATTGAATAAATACTAATGCTCATACATTAGAACATTTTATTAGAACGTTCAAAATCCTAAAAGCTCCATAAGCAAAATTCAAGCCTTGACTCTATGAAAATTACTAACAATGAAAGTTGCAATCTTTTAAGTTTAAGTAAGTTGACATGATTTTGGTAACTAATCATTTCAAATTAATCAAAATATTCCTAATTAAATATGTTAGGAAATTGATGTAATTGGCAAATTCCGTGAGTCACATGTAAATTATAGCTCATGTTAATCCATGGTCCAAGATACTTTCTTGTTGAAGACCCAAGCAAGATGGAAGAAGATGATCAAACTTCATTAAAGAATCCTTAGAAGTCATCAAGCTTTGGTAAAGTTAAAAGACTTAGAGACCTAGTTGTCCTAATTGGTTAACTTAGGTAAATTGTTTAAAATGAGACTTAGTGTTTGATCCTTTCTATGAATTTCATTTTTGAGTAAGAAAAATGTTTAGGAAACTTTGAGGGCTATTTTGAAAATAAACAAAAAGTCATGGTCTGGAGCCTTGATGAGTATCACCCTTTGGTACTCTTGAGTTTGGTTTTGACCATTGGTTTAGGTCCTAAAACCAGTGTTCAAAGTTCTGTGAGAGCTCGAGCTGTTTTGGAGTGCATTGGGCCGGAAAACAAATTCCAGTGACCAACGCTTGCTGAGTGTTCGAGGGCTCCTGGTCAGGATGGCCAGATTTCATTCCAATATTCAGCGCTATTTAAGGGCAAGCTCGCTCGACCACTCCTTCGCAAAACCTGATTTTCTTGGTATCCAGGTTAAGTCTATTTTGCTGCTTATAAATAGGGGATGGTTATTTTTTGACCAAGTGAGAAATAATAAGGTTGCTAGACAGCCAAATTTTGAGAGAACAAATCTAGAGAAGAACCCTTGCTTTCCCTACCAAAATCCCTCACCTCTATCAAGATCAAACATAATCCTTCAAATAATCAACTATGGTTAGTGAGATCTTGAGTTGGACCATCCATTTATTAGTAGCATGTGTAAAGAACAGAAAGCCAAAGTGAATGTATAGAATAAAATAGTCAAAGTGATCACCGACTAATCTTGACAATAGCAATTCATATATTGTGGATACATATAATATAACGATTGACACATGTATCAAATTAAAACTAATAATTAAACAAATGCAATTGAACACAATATAAAACAAAGAAAAATAAATTAAAAAAATCTAGCCTTTGAGGGTCTGTGAGACACGTTGAAATGTTGTCCTAAAGTGACTAAGCTTTTCTATGTGAAGGTATTAGCGGACTACAGTAGCTCCAAGATACAACCCAGATTCAAAAGCAAGAACTCCTCAGGGTTCATGTACACAGAAGAGTGGAGATGAATCAGACTCTAATCGAGTTGCCCAAAATTTAGTATGATCAGAATACTTAGGAATGCAGAAAAGAACAAAGTCCTTCGTGAACAACCAATGTAAAATGAGACTTAAATTTCTGCCGATTGTTCTTGTACGAAGACCAAATGAAACAAAGGGTTTTTCTTTAAGTTGCTGGGAGATTTTCATATATGTCAATACTCAAAGAATTTGTCTTTTTATAGGCGTAAGTCATGCCCAGTGGGAAAAGGTGTCTTTGCACAAAACAATGGTAAAGTGTTGTTGCAGTGCAACGGTTGGACTCCAAGTATAACGGTTTAAAAAAAAAAACCTAATTAAAATTCAAGTTTCAACTCTACCAACTGTCATACCTTATACATTTATATAATATATAATAATTCAAAATATTTTAAATACCTCTTAGGGAAAAGTTGAAAGATGAAACCATATTTTTTTTTTAAAAGAAAAAATTTAATTTATTCCAACAGTATGTCCTAAGATCCATCACGCAGATGACATTAGGATTGTATTGATAATAATTATTATTTAATTAAATACACAGACAATTTTATTTATCATGTTACTAGTTTATTTCATTTTAACATACATGATAAAATCCATACAGTATAAGTTAAGAAGATAGTTTGTCAAGACGTTGATAGACTTCTTAGTACTTAACTCTAAAAGGTTCCTAGTCTTAAAATTTCTATGTGGGCACTACGTAATCTAAATAGACTAGCATATAATATATTTGCTCATATTTGTTGTAATATACCTCATCCAAGTCACTAGTGTAGGGACACTAAAGTAGCCGTGTGGGTACTCGTTCACTGCACATAACCATTGACTAACATAAAATTTTTTATATGGAGTTTTACATGTTTGTTAATGTTAAATCATAAGTTACAGTTATGCAATTGATCTTTAAACCTAAGACACCATGATTGTCTTGCGTAAAGACTTCTATGTATTAACCATACAACATAATCAAGTGCTAACCATATAACTTGGATATGTATCATTGGGAGTATCTAACCATGATATTAATTGAGGTATAAGACTCAAATACTTGTAAATTGATTTTGAGTTAGTGGATTAGGTTAGGTGAACTAGGTAGTGGTTTCATGGTTTTTCTAGAGTTAGGTTTTTGCGTCATCAATTACTTGTGTTATAGATGCTTCTTTATTGCTCTATTTTGCACGTCGTTGTCGTGGTGAAGTTATTGGGTATGAATTTAGTCTTAACGAGTTTGAGAATAATATAACACAGTACACTTAATTTCCATACACCAATAGCTGCCCCTCAAAGCAGATAAAAAAAATGCATGCAAATTAAGAATAATATAACACAGTACACTTAATTTCCATACTCCTCAATCTGTGTTCCATGTTACAGCAATAGACCTTAATATGTCCAAACAGTAAAATCTGTTCAATTGTGATCTTATCATCAATGGTTCGACATATGAGAATAACGTCTGCATGCAGAACATTTTATTTTTACAGACCCTGTAATAGCGAATAGGAAACCACTTTGAAATTAAAGGATGGAGCAGAATCCACCCTCGTAGGGAAAGTAGCGAACAACCACAAGATGGCATTCTTTGCAACATGTAGGGAGGGGATTCAGCTCTACCTCAGGCTTTTTCTTAGGCTCTGGTGGATTAGGTTTTGGGGGTTCAACACTCATGATCTCTGCCCCCTTCCCTATCTTCCTGATTTGTTCCGCTAATCTCACAGGATCAACATTCCCCACCACCGTTAATGTCCATTTCTCAGCATCCACAGCTACAGAATCTATTCCTGTAAAAATTCCAAACCAGCAATTACAGGTCTGATGGCAATATATAATATATGTTCAAAGATAAAATAAATTATTTCGCTCTTTATATATGAATGAATTGATTGGTACGATTTGTTTCCTCAAGTAGAGGTATTGATCCAACCGAACTTGTTCATTTGACAGCCCTACCTTCAAGCTTTGCAACGGCTTTTAGTACTGCTGTTTTACACTTACGGCAGTTGAAACAAACGCGCAACACTGTTTTCTGTTTCATGGTTGAACAATGCAGGCAGGCCAACATACAAATTAAATTTTGTGACCACTAGCAATATATAGCAGAACTTATAGATGATTGAAATGGAGGGAGTAGTCTAGGAATCCATACCTTCATGTTAGTAATTGTAAGACTTCTGCTGCAACAATAATATTATCAACGTGGAGTAGAGA